TGAGAATGCACCTTTCTTGCAGCAAGTATACGGCCACCTTCAGGTTCAGTGGCCTTGCACTGCGGTGAAACGCATGGCTGGGATTGCGGCCTCTCGCGTCTCGGGGTATGTTTTCTGCGAAAACCTTGCTGTTGCAAGCCTAACCATGTCTTAACGGTAGACTGCCGTATAATCAATAACAATGACCCGACCTCACAAAGAAATCAAGATTTTCCCCGACATTGCTCTGCCAAAAAGAAGTCCTATACCAACATGTACTAAGCCTAATGACAGCTTACGGAATAGCAACTCTCTCGGCGGTAGAGATTTCCAGGAGGATATATCCGCTGCCGCCGGCGCATGCGCGCAGAGAGCCAGAGTGTGACGACACACGTCCCAGAGCAGCTTAGGACAGGAGCACGCCGGGGAAGGTGCAAAGAGACAGCTGAGAAAGATCGAGACATCTGTGTGAATGCGAGGCGAGAAGGCATGACAAGAAGTTGGTTGTGCGAGGGAGCGCAGGCACAGGAAAAAGTCTTACTGTTGCGTTGTTTTCTCGCACTGTTTGGAAACACTCAACACGCCAGAGTCTTCTTTGTGATGCAATGCACACACTTCTTAAGGCCTCACACGGTCCCGACCCAAACCCCCACAGAGACACATTCTCTTGCCAAAACGACCTGCCACTGGGACTCGGGAAGGGATCTTCCTACCGACAGGCTGTGGAGCAACGCACCGTCCTACCGAACCGCAAGACTTCCGATTGATAGGACCAGCTGCTCAAACCTGGAGCCAGGCCGCAGTCCCTGACGCTTAAATCCACCACGTCAGCAAATCCACAGGGCTCAGTACGAGATCGTCGTTCTCGCATTGCGTGCCGACCTCGCATCTGAGATCAGAGAACACGATATTGGACGCAACGCCATGAACCAATCATGTTCAGTACTTGGTATGATGATTCCCAACTAAGACTATGAGCAGGCAGAATACTACAAGAGGCTTTACAATGATGACGATCAAGATGTCCATGCATATACGTTTGTGTACATACATATATGTATGTACACCAGCACATAAACATACACATGTACATATACCTTTAAATAACAACTACATCTACATCTGCGTAGGTATACGTATACGCATACGCATACATATACATATACATATTATATTTATATTTATTTATATATATATATATATATATATATATGTGTATATATATATATGTACATGTACATGTACTTGTACATATACATATGTAGAGATATATACATATATCTATACATATACATATACATATACATATACCGACACGTATGCATGCATGCACATATGCCTACACCTAAGCCTAGACCTGCAATTTTGCTTATGCCTGCCTGCGTGCCTGGATGGATGGATGATGTACTGATGGATGGATGGACGGACTGTATGAAGGTATCTATGCAGGCATGCATATATGCATATATCCATGCATGCATGTATGCACGTGCGTTACGTACATACGTACATACTTCTTCTTCTTCTTCGGAGCGATTGAGTCGGTACCGACGCACGCCTAGCACAACGAATTCAACAAGGTGAAACTAAAGGGGGCTTACTGAAGAGGCGAGCAGATCCCATCGGAGCAGCGCTCAAAACCTCCAAGCAGTAGCCATGAGGTGGTCGGCTCAAGGCAAGCAAGAGCTGCCGAGCTCGCCAAAAGCTTAACCGGCGCACACTGCGACTGCTGCACAAAAGCGCCGACAGTATCACAGGCAGCTTCAAACCATTTGGCATGCCGCTCAGCGGCAGCCAACGGTACGCTGCACTGGAAAGGGTAGCGGTACTCGGGCAGAGGCGGCAAGTCCAACCGCAGAGTGAAAACCGGCCCAGAGAGGATGAAAGGAAAGACAATCTCAGCTGGAGTGTCCAGGGCTGGAAGGAAGTCCAAACCTTTCAATGCGCTCCTGCGATGCCGAAAGTCATCGCAGCACAGCTCCGGGTCCAGAAGGAGCACCACGTTGGAGGCAAGTTCATGTGCCATTGGCTGGGCCCGGGCATGGGCGGCCCAAGTCCACAGGGTGGTACGCAAGTGCGCCAAAGGCGCAATGAACTCAACAACCGTATCCCAAGTGGTAGTCTCATCGGGGTTTTCAAGCTCCAAGAGTGCAGAAAGAAGGCCCTGATGAACATCCTGTGGGGTCACCTCAGGGTATACTTGATCCAAAGCCCCTTCAAGCTGCAAAGGAGGGGCAGATGGATGCGGGGCAAGTGAGTCAGGATCCCCACGCGCCAGAAAGCTTCCCCAGTGGTCCTGGCAGTCAACAGAGAAGGCAACATGGCGCCGAAGTCGCCCAGCATTAGCGTAGACCTTGCCGCAAGCACGACACCAGAAACCGCTTACGCCAGCAGTGATCAGGGTAGCCCGTGTCCGATAACCATGGAGTTTGCTGGCATGGCATGCCCAGGCCGATCGTGAACCAAAGGCAATACGGCATGGTAGACAGGCTTCAGTGAAGCAGGTATCCCCGTCACGGGTCGGATCAGTGGTGCGTGCGGCGCCGGCCGTCCGGATCGCCTTGGCAAGGGCATATAAAGCCGCCCCGCAAGTCAGGCGGAGGATAGCCAGACGCTTGGCACGTTTAATCCACCCTCGAAAGCGACCGGGCCTATCCGTCATGACTTGGCGCCAAGGTTCCCAGTCGAGGAGAGGATCCGGCATAGGGATGGTATGTCTGAGGAAGGTGAAAAGCCACTCAAAGGCATCTCTGTAGGCGCCAAGCAGTGCGGCATCAAGGCGTGTGAGCGCCCAAAGCGCATCAGGTGCTGCCGCCACAAGCTGGCGTAGATACCGCAAACGCTCAACCCGAAGTGTAGTGTAGTGACAGGGTCCGCAATGCCTAGCAAGGCACATGTCTCAGCGCGGCAGATATGTTGGTCTCCATCAAAGGGGATGCACAGCGTCTGTCGCATGATCCCAAGCATGGCCCCATTGAGGGCCTGTTCTTCCCCAGCGCGGAGTGTGGGCCAAGATCCCGCGCCGTAAAACAGGCGCGTGAAGACAGCTGAGGTGAGCAGAATACCACGCCGAAGAAGCGAGATCTTTTTGTTGCGGTATACAGCCTTGCGTCCTTGACGAAAAGCCTGCCAAGCATGGCCACATCGGTGGCGAATTTCGGGGAGGAGAGACGCCGTGGGAGTCTGCATGACCCCCAAATGCTTGTAGGAGGCAACAACAGGTAGGCGAGCCGTGGAAGCGTTCTCCAATAAGATTGGGAGAGACGCGTCTTTCCCGAAGAGCCGGGATCGGGCACGTTTGGCCCCCGCTCCGGACACACGGACCAGGGCAGCCGTCTTAGTCGCCCCAAAGGTCAGGGTGTACCCAAAACTGGCAAAGGCTTCAGCAAAATTTGAAGTGGCAACGGCAACCTGGGCTGCCACAGCATCGGCAGCTTGTAAGACCACACACTCAGCAACGTCATCAGCCCAGACAACGTCTCCCAGGGTAACAGTAGTGGTGGGCATACCAGCAGGGCTGAGGTCACGGCGGCCATCCCATGGGATACTGGGCCTGGTGACGGCATCGGGTGTCTGGGCTCTTAGGGACTCCTTGAGGTCAAGGATGGCCGACACCCCGGCACCGAACATCAAGTCGGCAAAGGTCGACCCCGGACGCGAACCACGCCGAGTTTGGACCGGCACTCGGTCCCCAGCAATGGTGAACCAGGTCCTCCTGTGCAGTTCTGCAGCAATGCCTTCAAGCCATGTGCTCGCGCCCCCTTGGCTCAGCACGCTAGACAAGTTCAGTTGGTGACGTAGCCCATCATGCTCAGTGTGCAGGAATTCTGGACAGCCATGGTCCTGCACACTGGTTGGGCGCCGAGCGGTGAGTTCACGGATCGAACTATAGTAGGCAGATGCGACGTCTGCGAAGATAACTGCAAAGGAGGTCTTGGAGTGGAGTTGCCACCTGCAGAACCCGCGCACCAAATGCCCCCCAAAGACTACAGATGCTCCACGGCGCCCACCCAGAAGGGTCGGCGGTGCCGTCTGGTCAATGTGGCGATAAAGTTTCGGACGGAGGGAGCGATGAATGGCTTTAGCAATGGTCGGGAGGAGCATGATAGCTCGGTACGACCCGCATTCGTCCCGCGCTCCTCTTTGTTTATATAAGGTGCAGAGGGTGGCACTCTGCATCCCGATGGCTTCCGTGCCCTTCAAGCACAGCTTGAGCAGAAGAGGCAGAACGTGCATGATTAAGGCAGAGGGTGCCCCTGAAAGGGCCTCCCCCGGGATGTGGTCCGGGCCTGGCGCTTTCCCTGCCTTAGATCCAGCCAAAGCTTGCATAAGTTCCCCGGGCGTGGGAAGGTCCTGCAGGCTCGGCGGTAAAGGCCAACCGCCAGGATCTTTGACCCCAGCAAGGTCAGCCGGCTGGCAAACAAGGCCGGCCTCCATGTCCCCAAAATGCTGTCTCCATCGATCAGTGATCTCAGAACTGGACTGACAGAGGGAGCCGTCAATTTTCTTTAATTGGGGAAGCACGGCCGGAGCAAAAGGCTTTTTATGCTTCTGTTTGAGAAGAAGCTGGAGGGCTTGGGCCCCATCAACGCGGTTGGCCTGCACAGAGTCTGCAAGATCTGAAAGATGAGCGGCCCTATCATCTCGACATTGTCGCCTAAGCGCTACAGAGGCAGCCCTTAATTGCTCACTACGAACCGTTCCAATGTAAGCGGCCTGCTTGGCCCACAAGAAGGAGGACGGTAGCACGGACGCGGTCCCACGCCAAATGTTGAAGAATGCGGCAAGGGAGTGCCGGCGCACAGCGCCACGCAGACGCGCACACTGATGTCGCAAGAAGGCGACTTGTTGGTGCAGAGTCCATGCAGCCTGGGAGAGATAACTGCGACGTGGGGCAGTTTTCGGCATTGGGAACTCCTCCACAAGTGCATCATGGAGGCATCTGACCAGCTCAGCTGCGTGGGAGTCCGCCGAAGTTTGCCATGGAATGACAGGAAGTCGGTCACAGACTCGACAGAGCCTGGCTTTGTTGGCAGGCAAGCGCAAAGCAGCAATGTCGATCCGTTTGGGCCGCTGACGGACTTCCTTGGTACCACATACAATGGTGGCAGTAACACTCGCAACAGTTGCAAGGTGGTCCAGACAGGCCTGTCCGGCATTGATGGCGGGGGCGACCCAAGTACTAACTTGGGCGTCTCGCCACGCAAGAGGCAGGGCAACAAAGTCCGGCCGTGTCGCTGCCGAATTGCGCTTCTGAAAGAAGGTCCAGCCTTCACCCTGCTGATGCTCCGCCCAGGTCGCCGGAAGCCAAAGCTGTCCGTTTGCAGCCATATCATGCACAAAGGTACCCGCAAAATCCTGCGGTTCCGCCCAGGCATCACTAATGGCATGGTCGGTGTGGCTTCCAACACAAGCGTTCAAGTCGCCTCCAAGAACAATCGGTGCTGTCTTGGCAAGCCGGCCACAAAGATGAATCGTATCGTGCCACCAGGCACGGAGGAGATCTTCAGGATGACCCCGATGTGGGGCGTGCAAGCACACAAAGTGAAAGCGGATGTCCTCTTGCCGGAAATGCACAACCAGCCGTCTAGGATCGCTAGCCAGCACAGAGCACGCATCACGGCATAGGCATGCAAGCTTGGCACTGCCACGGACAACCAAAGCAAGGTTGCTACGGATCCAAATTTCAACCCCCAGATGGCCATGCTCTGTGCCCGAACAGAAGCGCAAGTAATCGGCGGTGTGCACAGAGCCCTCCTGTGTGCGCGCCTCTTGGAGGAAGGCAACTCCAATGTTGTGTGCATTGAGGGCCTGTGCCAGCATGGCAGGTCGGCCGGCGGCATAGGCGATGCCTTGGCCGGCACCATCAGCAAAAGCCTCACCGTTTAGGGACAGCACATTGTAGGAGACAACACGCACAGAGAGGCAGGCGTTCTGAGTGGCAGGTTCCGTAGGTTGGGCGGAAGGCGATGCGGGGAGGAAAGGTCCAACCGCCTCCGATGGTGTGAGTTCATCGTCGGGGGGGACAGCGTCGTGAGCATTGTCTGCAGTTGGAGGGAGCGCGTGGCATCCCATCGCAGTGCGGCAAAAAATGCCAGCCCATTGGACCTGACGAAAGTCAGGCGTCCACCAGTCAAAGGCAGGCTTGGAGTGCCCTGACCATGGCAGGAAACCCAGGCGGTCTCCGCGTGCAGCCAGCCTGGCAGCGGCATCAGCGAGCTCGTTACCAATGAGTCCGGAATGCCCGGCAACATGCTCAAACTTAGGTGGCGTACGAGCCAGGGCGCATGCAAGAACCCGGCTAGCCCGGAGGGCGCAGGCAGCAGCACCCTCTGATGTACCACGGCCTTCCTCAGCAACAGCAAGGGCAGCAACACAATCAGATTTGTGAACAACCTGATAGCCTTGAAAGGCAGTAGTCCCAATCCAAAGGGAGACTACTAGAGCACAACATTCCGGCACAAAGGCCGAGGGAATGTCCCCAGTGGCGATGAAGGCATCAGGCACCTCACCTGCTAGAATGCTGAAGCATAAGGGGTCCCCAGTTAAAAAGACACACGCCCATCCCATGCGGGGGGGTTTACCATTGCGTTCCGGTGTGTAGGAACCGTCGGTAAAGCACCACAGGTGATCAGCCTCGATGTGGCCAGGGTAAGGGTGCAGGCGGGCAATGTGCTCTTGATCCTGCGGGGGTAGTCTGTCAAACATGTCCTTGAAAGTCACAAAAGTGACCCGGGGGCACATCAGGTCCCATAGCTGAGGGGCCAGGAAGGGGCACGGGACGCCTCCTAATGAGGGAACTTGGCTCCCAAGTCGATGAAGGAAATCGAGATCATGCGCAGCCCAAGGCCGGGGTTGGACAGGATCCGGATCCCATGTTGTGAAGGGGACCAGGTCGTGAAGCGAGAGCGACTTCCGGCCCAGAAAAGGATCCCCAACCAGCCCAAGGTCACCAAACCTTGATTGTGGGGGGGCCTCCAAGGAGGTGGTATGCTTGGCTCGCAACAGACCTGGAGCAGGAGTCGGAGGCGACAGCTCAGCCGATACAGCACACGGGGCAACTGCAGAGCTGGAGCTGGCAGGCAGATTGGCAGTGTCAGGCTCGGTGTTTGGCTGGTGTGGGCCAACACATGGTCTCCGTGGGGAACGGCCACGGACGGGGGTTGGGATCCGTGCGCAAAGAGAGCAAGGCACTGCGGAATGCCGTGCACAGAACCTCGGTTGGGGCCTACGCCATGGGGTAGGCCTGAGGTGTCGGCGACTGACGGAGTCGCATGTGGGCCCCCAACAGGTGGTCCAGCCACACAAGTTGGGGCGCTGGCAAGAACCCCAACTGCAACGAGGAACGAAAGGCGAAGCCCAGCTTGAGGAAGGAGAGGTCTCGCTCGCTCCAGGTGCACGTAACGCAGGAGCAAAGGCAGAGCAATTGCAGGCTTAACAATGCTTGCTGCGCCTAAGCACCAACAAAAGGCAGCGACAGCCAGGAGGACAGAGGCAAAGGAAGGGCTGCCCTCAGCAAGGGCGTCATCTTTGGGCACCTTCCCCCACATGACTACTCGACTGAAACTATCTGCAGCCTCAAGGAAAGCAGTGGCAACGGCGGCTACGACCCGAGGTATGTAGGACTTGTAGCGAATGCCGTGTAAAGTAGGCCAATCACCGACAGCAGGTGGTGAAAGCAGACTAGAGGAACGCGCCAAACCCCTAGCAGGGGGCTTGAACCGCGGAGAACCACACATGCCACGGCGGGTGTGAGTGTCACATCGTCGGCCACCGCCTGTGCCTGCATCAGCACCAATCGACGCAGCAGCAGAGCCTGTTGCGAGAGAGCTATCCGCGTCATCAGTGTCTCGACCGGCAGGATCCAGTTCATCTCCCGATGGTACCCGGGGAGGCCCCCCTCCACTGCCAGACGCAGGGAGGGAGGTCCCTGTATCATGGGAGCACGGCAGGAACGTAAGTGTAACAACCTCCCCATTGTGGGCGGCCAGGTCCGTTCGCACCGGCTGTGGATGACCAAAGCGGTCCAGTTTGTGCAAGCAATGGCCTTGGGGGCAGCGAACATTGAATCTGTCGCAAAGGGCCTGAAAAGGGATCACCCCTGCAGAGAGGGGCCACCAGCATAGCTGCAACAGCATGGGCCGCAGATCAAAGAAACAGAGAGGCCCAACCGTAGCGACCTCTTCGCTGTCTCGCCCCGTCTCAACGGCGGCAATAACATTGAGCGAAGGAATCCCCTGAACTGCATGGTCGTGGATCATGGGGTCCGGTGCTCGTAGCAAGAGACGCGAAGGTTGAACTCCAATGCGCTCGGCAATGTCGTTTCGGAAGGCGGCTCGGCGACCTGCCTCGACACAAAACAAGAAATGACCCCAATCCGTAAGAATCCAAACAGTGTCCCTGTAGGGGATAGCCGGGGTCCATTCAGCCTCCCATCCACGTTCTACCTGAATCAAATCAGTGAAGGTGGTGGTTACTATATCTGCATGTCCATCCGGCAGGAGGATTGCAACGTCTCCATGCGTTACAGTAACATGGTGGCCTCGAGGTACAGGCCATGGGAGGTCGCGGACAAAAACCTCAACCCTACTATCCTCCCGAATACCAACTGCAGCGAGGATGTCCTCACGCGCTAGTCGGGCGGGCAGCTGCACAGCAAAGAGCGTGCCACATACCCGTGTGGCATCAATGACGATCAAGGCTCCACTGGGCTCCCAGGTAGGGAGAGCAATGACAACACCAACTCCAGGAACCGACTGGGTTCCAGCTGCTTTGAGGCAAGGGAGCACAGCTCGGTCAGTAGGCGCCCGGGCGGAATTGATGGCGCTCAGGACTTCATCAGGGTCAGAGTGAGCGGGGAAACGAACAACGACGAGCTCAGGCGTATAGTCTTGCTTTAGTACAACAAAGGTACCAGAAATATATGACACGCCTGGGTGAGTGTCCGACTCCGACCCACTGCTCTCGGAGTCGACCTCAGGGTGTTGGTCGTCATCGCCGTCGTGGGCGCTGGGGTCAGCTTCCCCTTCTGCGGCTGGGGCAGAGGGACCCCCAGGCTCGGCCTCCGCATAGGCTTGCTCGCCCTGGTGTGCGCCCTCGGTGCTGGTTGGGCCCGCAGAGGACCCCGCAACAGGAGCCAGAGCATCCCCCTGCCCAGGGTCGGACGACTCGTCACTGCTTCCAGAGGCAGATGGCACAGGCAAGGCATCCGGGGCAGCGGGGTCTTGGCAACCGAGGCTTAGGGGTCGAGGATTAGGTGCCGGGTGCGGAATGCGCACAGCGTCACGTGTAAGCGCAAGGGTGAGCACTTGTCCGGCCTGCACCTGCAAGGTGTCCTCCTCAGGCGGGACACCGACTATAGTGCAGGCCCAGCCGTTGGGCACCCGGATTGGAGCAGCTCTTATCACGTCTCGGAGAGAAACGTGGCCGGACTGCGCACTTGTAGTCATCCAGCCAGCCGCAAGAGCACGCATGTCAACCAAGACTAAAGTATCGGGACGAACAGTCCCGTCATTAAGCTCCTGCACTCCTACCACAGCCCGGCAACGCAACCCGTCAACTGTGGCGTCGCCCACCGGAGGTGTAGCAGGCACAAAATGAAGTCTTGCAGAGGAAATTCCGAGGCAAGCCGCGATTTGTTGCCTAAATGCCTGCGGGCGTCTAGGGTCAAGTATGAAGAGCACAACCTGCGCCTCGTGCAGCAAACAGTATGCATCAGTGCCTGGGGGCGAGAAAAAGGATGGACGTGGACCCCAAGGGAATCTCGCCGCGAGGACCTGTTCAAGGCCGTAAGCCAAGGGGGGTGCCTCATCATTGGGGAGGACAAAAAAGGTGAGCCCCAACCGCGTATGAACCCAGGCATTGTCGTCCAAGGGCAGGCCATCGTCTCCGGCAAAAACTTGTACCCCGAGTCGCGCTTGCACCCCGGCAAGGGCCAGAACCCCACTTCGGTTGACGTATGCAGGGGCTTTGACCACAAATAATCGGTTGTCCAGTGCAGTCGAGTCAATGCAGACAAGGTGATCCAAAACTTGCCATTCAGCAAAAGCCAGCACCACACCAGCCCCCAGACGAGGTTGGGGAGAGGCTGGGACTAAGAGCGGGAACCGAGCGCGTGATCTAGCACTCCGGCCCCTACTGACGAGGTACAAAACCTCTGCAACAGTGGATGCAACCGGGAAAGCCACATTAACGACCTCAAGGGCAAATCCAATAGCGGCCACAGCAAAGCTGGCATGAGCGACCTCGTCCTCATCATCGCTAGAGTCGGAGGGAGGGCCTGAGTCCTCGATGTGCAGGGCGGTGCGCCCTGGACGGTACCGCCACGGGCGACCCAAGAGTGGGGCAAAGTAGCGGAGTGTCGCCATTGCAAGACGCAGGGGCTCGGTGTGGGCCTCCGGCTCGTCAAGTAGTTTCTGATGCCTGAAACGCGGCCACAACCAGCATTCAAGTTTGTCAGAGCCATAGGAAAGCAGGCCAATGAGACCTGCACACATCCAGCCGCAAAGGGAGGGGGCACATGTCAGTGCCTCCGAAAGCTTACTGCCGACAGCACAAGCTTCGCAAGCCGACTCGGTAAGCTCCTTGCAAGCCTGGGGGCTCCAGATGGCGGAGGATGAGTGCGACGGTACATGTGTGCCACGGGTTCCGGCACAAGGCAAGCCAGCGAGATCAGAGGACACATCGCCGAGGGAGGGGCTAAACCCGAAGTAACCTGAAGGGCAGGAGAGGGATTCGGCCAGGGTTGGGTGTCCAGGGTAGCTCTTGGGAGATGCGGCAGCAGCCCCGGATGCACTCCCCACGAGCGCAGCAAGAGTTGCAACAGGCAAGGCATCAGCTTGAAATAAGACACGCGGCCCGGTGCCTTTACCAATCCTGTTGCGGGGTGTACGGCTGCGGTCGGGTGCCCCATCCCGATTGGGGGATGGGGGGGGAGCTCCCTGGCCATCATCGGAAGAACTGTCACTGGGGTCACTTCCGTCGGAAGATTCTTCAGAGGACTCCTGAGCAGCTTCCGCATCTGTGCAAGGGGCATACTCAACCAAGAGCAGTGCGCATGATTCAACCCGCAAGTAGACATCGCCTCGCATCCGCTCAGGCACACCACCATGTATACAGATCTGGAAGCCCGCTGGCAGTCTGTCGCGAAACTGGTCCTCGAGGTCCGGCAGGCGGATGCACCCGTCTGGCAGAATGCGCCAAGAAAGGCCTCCCAAGATGGCACGCAAGTCCAGGAAGGCCACAATCTGCTTAGGGAGGGCACGCCCAGGCGGTACCGGAATGCGGCGTAGCTGCGATGTGCCAAGGACGACGGCTTCGCAGGCAGATCCCAGAAACATGCAATTCTGCAGCCGCGGCCGGCAAAGCTTGCAGGAAAAGGTTTCGACTGAGTCGTCCAGGGCAGCGGCAACATATTCTCTGAAGGTGTCGATGTTTCCGACAACAGACCGATCGAGGCGAAGAAGCCTCGGCATGCCGTCAGTGAGTAAGAAAAAGGCTCCGGTGCCGGGAATGTAGGCCTCGGGCTCGTCCCATACCCACAGCCTGGGGCGACTGAGCAGATACACCGG